GCGAGGAGGGGGGAAATGGTTAGGGTGAGGGAAGGGAGGGAGCAAGGAGGGGGAAGAGAGTCGAGAGGGGAGCTGAAGGCACGGTCAAAGAGAAAGGTTTTGAGACCGGCCTTGAAGGAGGAAAGGGAGGAAGCAAGACGAAGGCACTGGGGATGGAGTTCCAGAGCTTGGGGGCTGAGAGGCTGAAGGCCGACCACCGATGGTAGGGCGTTGGGCGGGGGACGTGGAGCAGACCAGAGCCAGAGGAACGGAGGGTACGGGCAGGTAGGTAGGGGGATAGTAGGTTGGAGAGGTAGGAGGGAGCAAGGCCGTGAATGGCCTTGTAGGTGAGGATGAGGATCTTGAAGCTACAGAGCAATTATGGAATTCCCAGAAACCTGCGACATGACTGGCTGTATATGTTAGTCACAATTGTTTTGTCATTTAAATATTTGAAACCAGTTAATCATTCCACCTTAATTCACTACAATAATAATCCTTGCATTTTATAATATCACCTTATCACATCATTGAGACGTCTCAAACTGCTTCACAGAATATATTGCAAAGTGAATTGATTGTGTATTTTGTGAGTGAAATGCAGCAGCCAACTGCGCACAGCAATGTCCAACAAACAGTTGTGAATTAAATGCCCAATTTTTTAAAAAATTCATGTTTTGACCACATTAATCTCAGAAGGAAAGAATTAAAGCTCAATTCTGCTACTATGCAAGAACTACTTTCAGGCAATATCGATATTACTCATCCAAAGAGCAGTGTGCAAATCTGGTTCCAATGCATTCTTGCAATGTAATTTTAATATTGAACTGCTGAGCTTTAAGACACTAAAAGAAACACAACTCTGTTTCATCCAAAGTATATGCAGCTTTAATTCAATGACCACAAATTTTACCATGTTTTCCTTCAGAGAACCCTTCCGCACATTGTTTCCACCTAAGTCAGAAGGCCAACTGTGTTGCACCAGTTTCCAGATAAAACCCAATTCATAATCACCAAATATCCTATTTCACTTCTCGTCACATACAATTAATACAATTAACAGATTAATATTTTCCCAAAAGATTGCTTCTTTTCCCTCTAAAATTTTGCTATTTGGAACTATGCAATTATGCAATTGCATCCTCTCTTTCAGGACTCTCTCTCTTGAGGTCATTGCTTTGTTAGGGGATGACATCATGTACTCCGGTTCTAATTTGAACTTCATGCACTAATTGAATGAAAGGACATTTGATACTCAATGCAGCACCTTGAGTATGAATTCAGTGCTGTTTTTATGACACCATGACTGAAATGTACAGCTTAATGCTTTTCCTTCCCTTCCATCACAAACTACTTAAAACAGGAACATATATACAATGTAATACTGCATGTGCAGAATTCCTTGTCCAATGATCTTCAAGCTCTCCCCCCCTCCCCACACCACCAATCAAAGCAAGATTGCAATGTTTAATATCCACCTGAACAGAGTGTCACACCAGTTCAAAGCTGAGAAGTGGGGCTTGAACCCACAACCTTCAGAATCAGAGGCAAGAGTGTTACCAACTAGGCCAGACTAACACACAATGTGGTATGCAATAAATTGATTACTTTGGACAAATGTCCATTAGTAAATATGGAAACCTCAATTCTAAAGTGCATTTGACTATAGACTAATTCCATATTAAAAATTAAACAGACTACAAATGGACAAAATCAAATCTGAAACCATCACTGCTGCACAGAGTTTTTTCACCTTCGATTTAATGTGCACTTAACTTTAAACAGCCATTACAACTCTGATGTGCAAGCATCATCAGCACGTAGGCCTCAGCCTGGCTCACTCATGCCATTGAGCGTACATCATGACTTTGAATCTACAGTCCAGGCTGACAATCCAGGGCGGTGCTGAGTTAGTACTGCATTGTCAGAGATACTGTGCTTCATACGAGACATTAAACCAAAGTCTTGTTGCCAGTTCAGGTGGATGTTAAATATCCCACATCACTGTTCAAAAAGAGAAGGAATTTCTCACAGTGCCCTGGCCAACCACCCCCCAGATGAAATTACTCATTCACTTCTTGGCCATTTGTGGGTCACTGTTGTGTACAAATTGGCTGTCGCTTTCACCTGCAGTGCAGTCACTAAACTACAATAAATCTTGTGAAGCGCTTTGACATGTTGAAGTGATAACAACAACAACTTGCATTTATATAGTGGCCTTCACTCGGGTAGCATCCCGGAGCACTTGTCAGTGGTAGAGTCTGACCCGAGCCAGGGGGAGAGGGGAGGTGACTGTAAGCAAGATCAAAAAGCAAGGTCTTTAGGTGGGATTTGAAAGTGGGGAGAGGGCAAGGCAGAGGGATTGAGGGAGTTCCAGAGCTTCGGGGCGTAATGGCTGAAAGCAGTCATCGATGGAGGGGGCGAGGGACGAACAGGAGACCAGAGCCATCTGAGCGGAGGCAGGAGGTGGTGGAGTGGGGGGTAAGCATGCAAAGATTATTATAAAGGACACATTTATGAAGATGGCAATGAAGACTTTTGAATTCCACGCACAAGTATAACAGTTATCCAGCACCCTTCACGCAGGTAGCATCTGAGGGCTCAACAGTATTATGAAGCTAAACAACGGAGAGGTTCAAGTAAAAACTCAACCACCCAAGTTTTGTCTTCTTTAGGTGTCTCTCACTACAATCCATTAAAGCTATGCATCCTTGTGAGAAAGCACTGCTTCCATTTCACCCAACTGCAAGGCAGATGGGACAAATGCCACATCAAACACTAAATATTGAACAATATTCAACACTAATCAACAAATATTGAACTTAACATAGCAAAGGACAAATAATCAGCATTTCGACCTTTATAGCAAAAGTACATATTCATTGTCATTCAGACAATAATGTTGATAAAGCTTATGAAAAACTTTTGATTAAAAAGTTGATGAATTGTTCAACTTTAGCAAGTCTTTCAGTGCAATTTCAACTTGGTACAAGATCATATCTGCCCATTGCACAGATGATTGTCATTTCTGTAACATTTGAATTACACACTTAGAAACATGTAGCCATTTGTATCTTTCTTGTCGACTGCAAGTTGTGAGACATAATTTTGGTGGGAGAAAATTGGTTCAAGGACCCGTGATCAAGGAAAACTCCCTTGGACTTTTTTTTGTTTCATTTTTGTAAGATAAGAAAGACATCTGATGAATACGTTTTGTAAAAAAAATCATTTGGTGGAAAAATCAATTTAACCATATTAAGGAACGAGCTGCAACTACATGAAAACATTCTATTTCTTAAAATAATGGCATACGAAGAAAAGAAATCACCATTCGGGGCCTGGAGATGGGGAATCATGTTGTAATAATAATCCTCGCACCTGATAAAGCGACTTATCACACAATATCAAAAGTCTTCGAGACGTCTCAAAGCGCTTCACAGAATATATAATTGTGGACGAAACGTAGTTGTAACTAGTTTAGCTGTTGGATTTGTTCTCCCCACCCGCATCATTTTCTGTGGACACACCCAGGCTGTTATGAGACGATTTATCCGACCCCACCTTCCACTAACCAGGTTGCCAAAATAGTCTTACGCAGCTCTCCAGAGAGAGTTAATGAACCTGGCAGTACAGTGTAGTGTTTGATGAAGGAACCAAACGAAGATCTATTTCAAATTCACATAATGCAGCATTTTAAACATCGCTGTTAAAAGCAGACAGAAATCTGGACTGTGTCGGGGGTTAGAGGTGATACGGCAGCAGTGATAACAAGCACCAGAAAAAAACGCTCCATCATCCCAGACACAGTGGAAACCTTTTTTTTTAAAAAAAGAGAAAACGCCGCAGGAAGTACAGCGAAGAAACCCCCAGTTGTTACTCCCATGGACTTGCTCGCACCAAGCGTGGACAAGTATGCCCAACAGCCTTCAGGGATTTCCCAGATTTGTTGGCTGAATCTCGGGAATTTCATGTTGCGACCGCAATCGCAGCTGGTGACTGATTCACGTGTTGAAAATGAAAATATTTACAACGATGCACGTTGAGGGGGAGGGAGAAGGGGCTGATCCCACAGGTAAGCAGTGCCTACCCGCCAGCGACAGTATCAATCTGCAGGTAGGACTGCCGGGGATGGTGTGTGTGAGAGAGCCCTCCCACCCCATCACCAGCCCTTCCTCCCACACACACCCCATCACCAGCCCTCCCACACACACCCCATCACCAGCCCTCCCACACACACCCCATCACCAGCCCCCCCTCCCACACACACACCCCATCACCAGCCCTCCCACACACACACCCCATCACCAGCCCTCCCCACCCCACACACACACCCCATCACCAGCCCTCCCCCCCCCCACACACACACCCCATCACCAGCCCTCCCTCCCACACACACCCCATCACCAGCCCTCCCACACACACCCCATCACCAGCCCTCCCACACACACACCCCATCACCAGCCCTCCCACACACACACCCCATCACCAGCCCTCCCCCACCCCACACACACCCCATCACCAGCCCCCCCTCCCACACACACACCCCATCACCAGCCCTCCCCCCCCCCACACACACACCCCATCACCAGCCCTTCCTCCCACCCCCCACACACCCCCCTCACCAGCCCTCACCCCCACACACACCCCATCACCAGCCCTCCTCCACACACACCCCATCACCAGCCCTCCCACACACACACCCCATCACCAGCCCTTCCTCCCACACACACACCCATCACCAGCCCTCCCTCCCACACACACACCCCATCACCAGCCCCCCCCCACACACACCCCATCACCAGCCCCCCTCCCACACACACCCCATCACCAGCCCCCCCCCCCACACACACCCCCATCACCAGCCCTCCCTCCCACACACACCCCATCACCAGCCCTCCCTCCCACACACACCCCATCACCAGCCCTCCCTCCCACACACACCCCATCACCAGCCCCCCTGCCTGCAGAAAGCCGGACGGTAGATAGCATCGGGCTGGCCCCGGCTCTCAGGGTCACTTTACCTTGAAGTTGCTGGAGTTGACCCAGCAGGCCACCTCGTCCACGATGCCCTCCAGAGCCCGCTTCTGGTCGTGCTCCACGTCGCTGGACCTGTCCGGGTCGCTCAGGTAATCGATCAGCTCCTGGCCGACCTGCAGCCGCCGACTAACGTCCTTCTGCGCCACCTGCTCCAAGAAGTACTCCAGACTGTGCTCGGGCTCCATGTCCCCCGTCCCCCCCCCCCCCCCGGGGCTCGGCGAGACGACTCTCCTCAAAGTTTACCAGCACCTCCCGGGAGGCCGGGGAGGGGCAGTGACAGTCACCGCGGGGGTTCCCCCTCCTAACCCTTCCCGGCTACGGCTCCAAACGTCGCCCCCGCCGGACTGGGCTCCAGGCCTCTGGCTCTCTCCCCTCTTCCTCTTCACACTCCTTCCAGACTCTTCCAGACTGGCGCCGAGTCCCGGTGACACAGACACACGCACAAACCGCCGTCGCCGCCACAGTAAGTTCCGGCAAACTCCTTCCCTTTACTGACTGACTGTGTGTATGTGTCGCTGTGGTAATTCGCCGTCCAAAACAAAAGGAGAGGAACGTGTGTGTGTGTGTGAGAGAAAGAGAGGAGGAGAAATCCCCGCCGTTACCACTCGCTCTCAGTCCCGGCTCCGCTACCCACGAGCGAGCGGCGCTCACTGCGCGTTGACGCAGCGACAGACTGGGTCGAGGCCACCGACCGACCTACGTACGCACGCACGCACGGCACGCACGCCGCTCGCTCTCGAGCACGCACACACACACAGGCGGCTTCTGCAAAACAAAGTGCGGTCCTGGTCTGACGTCCTACCACAGCAATGTTTGGCTACATTGGGCGGGTTCACGCCCCCAATTGGGCGGGTTTTTGTTGCATTGTGCGCGAAATAACGGTTTTCATTTAAATCTGCCAAAGTTTTCTTTCCCCTTCAAGAACTTTCCCTTTCACTGTTTCATAAAGCACTAACCTAACTTGACCAGTCTGCTATCCCACAGGTGGCGATACATAACATTGTGCTACTTTGGGGTCTCGTGTTTGGTGCGACTTTAAGGCTACAATTTTCTGGCAAACCCGGTCCTTAGACTGGGGCGCAGAGGTGCCCGTCGCACTGCCCGCTGATACGCCGCAGAGTAACTCATTTCCACGGAGTTCCTTCGCGAACTATTCGAAGTGTTCAAACTTTGAGGATTGGGAAATAGAAGTCGCCGACCCGCGCGTTAGTCGAAACGTTTCCTATTTCGGACGCTCGACGGGCATTCTTTCGAGGCGACTAAAAGGGTGAGGGCTTCACGCTGACCAAGTGAAATGCTTGCGCATGCGCCCACCTTGGTGGCGTCTGCTGTAACCATGGAGACGGTGTGCACAGGCAGTGCAGACGGACTGTTCTCAGCTGCTCTCCTCTTCTCTCAGAGCGCTAACAAGGTTGTGCACGGGATTTAGAGATGAGTTTCTTTATAAGGAGAGGCTCACGGAGTTACATTTATTTGGGTTTCTTTTCTTAATGAAAGGAATTTGAGGGGGACACGCCTCCGAATATAGCAGTGCAGGTAGCCCAGGCTTTACATTCCAGAGGGACAGAACATAAGAAAGGAATTAATGTTAATTTTATACAAAACCACTGGTTTCAGTATTTCAAAAGTGCCAAGTACTCCAGTTTGGCTCATCAGCCGTACTTGGAGGGGCCCACCGGCCACTGAGGAGGATTCCTCCCATACAGCTCCTGTGAATCCTGCCTGCCAAACCCCTAATGAGTAGGGTAGTCGCAGTGGGAAGCTTGCTAGACAGCACTTTCAATGGGAAACTATGTGGTTTTAGCAGATTAAACGCTAGCAATACCTAATGTACGCTCTGGTTCCCCAAACCTTGGGTCATCCAAAACTCCGCAGTTTGTGTAGTCTTGCGCACCAGGCTCCGTGACCCCATCACTCCCTCCTCGCCCGACTCCACTGGCTCCCCATCCCTCAGAGGATCGAATTCAAGATCCTTGTCCTCACTTTCAAGGCCATTCATGGCCTTGCCCCCTCCTACCTCTCTCACCTGCTGACTCCCTACCAACCTGCCCACTCCCTCCATTCAGCAGGCTCTGGTCTGCTCCATGTCTCCCGCCCAACCCGTCCTACTATCGGTGGCCGAGCTTTCAGCCTCTCTGCCCCCACACTCTCACTGTCCCTTCGCCTCGCTTCCTCCCTTGCCTCCTTCAAGGCCGGTCTCAAGACCCTCCTCTTTGATCGTGCCTTCGGTCACCCTCCCCTTCTCTGCCTTCCCTCACCTCTATCCCACACCTCCCCCATGCTTGGGTTCTGATCCCTGACTGTCCAGCGCCTTGGGACATCCTCCCAACATGAAAGATGCTCTATAAATGTAATTTTGTTGTTTTGTTTTGTCAGCCTGTGCCAAATATCCTCTGAAATTAAGTCAACAGGGAGAGAGTGTGCTTCCATTCCTGACATGAAATTTTCTTGGAAATTCCATGGAACTCTTAGACTGGTTGGATATTCTTAAGTATGGGGATGGTTTCCATGTATGTCAGCCATCTGAAATGTTTTCTGACCTGCATTTAATTTGCTCCCAGGTTTTTATCCTAGTATGTGTATTGGATAGTATATTCCTACACAGAGAAGGACCACAATACCATCTAGATATAGCATCTTACAGGAGTTAAATACTTTATTAATTTATATAATGTTTGTGACTGTGCACTAACTAGAGGTCCTTAACATATTACCAGCAATAATTTAAGCTATACAACAAGAGGACTGACTATTGTACAAGGAAACTAATAAATCTCCTGAAATCTAATCAGATTTTATCAGTGCCAAATGTCCGCCACTTTACAAAGTACAGACTACTTTGTAGTCAAACCTGTCCAAATGTTAATGAGAACTTATGTTCCATCACACATTATTAAACACGTTTTCATTAGAGCTTGTATTTATTCACAGTTATTTTAGTCTGGTGTGAAAAACATTGTCAGGTCTGGTGTTAATAATGAACCATAGAAGATCATTCATCATTTCATTCTTTTGCAGATGTGTCCATTCCAAGCCCAATTGAAGCACAAATTATATAGAATGGTAGTATGTCTTAATGTCCTGGGTCAGTGACTGCATTCATATAGTCAACAAGGCTATCATTGTGAAGAATTATATGAATACTGCAACGAGAACCAGTTTGAATATTTCTTAATGCTAAATAACTCTGTCTCAGTTCTGAATTTCATAGAAAGCATAGAAAAGTATGGCTTAGCGGAAATCAGTTGTCTTATTGAGGCTAAATTGGTGCTAGCTCATCTACTAGAGCCAACTACTTCAATTCTAATTCCTTTTATATTATTTCTCTTGAAAAGTTTGTCTGATTTCCTTCAAAAGCTGCTGTCATTGTAGCCTCAAACAGCAACAACAGCAGGGACATAAGAGGGAGGTAACAAAACACAGTCAATGAGACAGTTTGTTGGAATGTTTTTGAAGAGGGATGAGGTGTATGAGACGGTTGGATTTTGGAAGTGATTTTCTTATGGTAATATTGTATTGTAATAACTCCACATTGTAATAACTCTTAGTTTCTACTAATTTCCTCAATAATTTAATATTCCAGTGACAATTCTAATTTTACGCCCATTTATACATTTAATAAATTGCAGAATTATCTTTTACTCTCATCCTCTCAAAATCTTTTAAAATGAGATATTTTCTTACCCTTTTCTGTTGTAATGGAAACTCAATTTCTCGAGTGTATATTAATCCTTTGTCCTTTAGGCAAGAAGTGACTGAAATGGAACGACTGTGTCTTTGAAGGCAAACGTAACAGCACAGTTGCATACAATAATGTCCCACAAACAGCATGAAACAAGTGACAAATTTTATTTGAGAGATTGTTGGCCAGGACAGTAGTGCCATAGGATCTTTAATGGCTACCTGAACAAGCAGACGGCACCTCAGTTTAATCCGAAGGACGGCTCCTACGATAGTGCAACAAAACCCCAGCGGCAGTTTAGACTGTGAATTGAAGTCCCAAAGTGGGATTTGAACCCACAACCTTCTGACTCAGGCGAGAGGTAAGTTCAACTATACAAGTGTAATTTGTTGTTGAGAGTGCTACCACTGAGCCAAGCTGACAAGGTGTTCCTCTCATAGAATAATTTTTTAATATTTAATTTCCTTAGCACAAAAATGTGATATATCTGAAAATATAAAACACTCAGAATATGACATGCTTTTCAATATGCACATTGATATATATTGATAATATCCTTGATATAATAATAATAATTGCATTTGATATAGCACCTTATCACGTCTTGGAGACATCTCAAAGTGCTTCACAGAATATATTGTAAAGTGAATTGACAGTATATTTTGAGGGCAAAATGCGGCAGCCAATTGCGCACAGCGGTGTCCCACAAACAGTCATGGATTAAATGACCAAATTATTATAATTTTTTGAATTATTACCCCCCGGAAAACCGATCCGCCAATCAACCTAGTAACCGGGTTCCTACTTACTGCTAAGTAAACAGAGGCATGTGGAGTAAGGAAATTTGCCTAAGGTCTTGCCTTGCCTGGGAATCTAACCCAGGTCTCTTGCTTACAAACCGAGTGCACTAACCAATAAACGATAGGACTCCACCTTATACAGCCTAGCACGTTGTTGAAATGTCTTGGGACATCCTCCTGAGGTGAAAGGTGCATACAAATGTAATTTGTTGTCGGTGTTAAAGTGCTTTACAGGATTTACTGTAAAGTACAGTGACCAAAACGGCAGCCAAATTGAGAGTAGCAATGTCCCACAAATAGATATGAAATAAGTAACAAATTTATGTGAAGGTTTGTTGGCAAAGACACTAGGACAAACTCCCTTCTGTTTTTGAATAGTGTCAAAGGATCTTTAATGACTACCTGAATAGGCAGATTGGGCATTTGTCTGTTCAATAAAATACAGATATTTTACATGATCTATGCATATTGAGTATGCATTTTATTGCACTGTTCATGTGATTGTTATTGTAAGATGAGTGCAGAATTTGTTAAAACGTGTAATGTTGTTGAAATAAAAACTAACAGCATTTTGTCAAGAATCCTGGATGTTAACGTAATAGACGCACGTTATCTTTAAATTTGGTAGGTTTAGAAGAATAAATTGTGTAGTCATTCTATTTTGCAGGCAAACCATTAATTATTACGCATGAATAATTACGCATTTGCATGCTGTGAAGCTCTTTGAAATATGCAAGTGTATTTTGTTGTTGTCTTCACAACAGGAAAGGCACATCTATATCAAATGTAAGGATTATTATTATGACAAAAAGTAATGGCCCCATCTTTGATTCCCAGCACAATGAATTTTGATCTCAGCTATACCATTAAGGGGAATTACTGAGAGTGCATGAGCTGCCCCTCAGAGAAAGAGAAAGTAACAAGGGAATAGTTCTGTAACATATTGGTTAGAGCACTTGCTCCCAAGCAAGAGGTCCCATGTTGGATTCCTGGGCAAGGAGAAACTTTAGGCATGTTTCCTTACTCCACACACCTTTGTTTACCTAGCAGTAAGTAGGAACCTAGTTGTTAGTCGATTGGTGGATCGCTTACCGAGGGTAATAATCTTTTCCCCCAAAAAAATAATTGGTCACTCAACCTACGACT